CAGCCCCCTAATCATATTCGTTGCTCTTCTCTGCACTCTTTCCAGAGTCTCAACATCTTTTTTTATATTGTGGCCACCAAAACTGGATGCAGTAATCCACACGTAGTTTTACCAAGGCATTATAAATGCAGTATTAACACTTCACAGGGTCTTGATTCTATCCCTCTGTTAATGCAGCCTAGGATTCCTGGTTTTTTTTTGGTAGCTGCAGCCCACAGCTGGCTCATATTTGTGGGAGCCCAGAGAGTAATGTTCCTAGTCTTGTACTCTATTTCTGGACATGATTTCATAAATTCGTCTTGTTTTCCCCAAATTTGAGCAAGTTAAACCCACAGGACAATAAATGTTTTGAGGGTTTAGAGTCAAAATGTGGAAATAAAAACTTCTCCCTTTGTTCTAATTCCAGAAACTGCCTGGTCTACAAACAAAATCAATTATACTATGTTGTTCACCGGCAGTTACAATCTGAGTTGAATCAACAATTAAATTAAGTGCAGATGAGTAAATAGGGCAGAGCCTATAAGTAACTCTCCTTGATAGATTGGTTTGATAGATTTAGCAAAGAAAGGACAGCTTTCTGAAAACCAAAACACACAGTCATACTCTACATAAACAAGACAATCCAACTTATAATAGGCTAGAAATGAAACTGGGGAAAACTGGGAAATCCAGGTAGAGGTAGTCCTCAACTTACAACAGTTTGTTTAGTGGCCATTCAAAGTTACAATGGCACTGAAAAAAGTGACTTAGGACCATTTCCGCACTTTCTTCATTGTAGCTTCCCCACGGTCATTTGATCAAAATTCAGACACTGGCAAGTGACACATATTTATGACCATTGCAGTGTCCCTGCATCATGTGGTCATCTTTTGCGACCTTTTGATAAGCAAAGCCCATGGCGAATCCAAATTCACTTAACAACTATGTCACTAACTTAACATATGCAATGATCCACTTAACAACGGCGGCAAGAAAGGTCAGAAAACGGGGAAAAATTCATTTAACCAGTCTGGTTTAGCAATGGAAATTTTGGGTTCAGTTGTGGATGTACAATTCTACTTGTAAATGATTAGAAAATCTGAGTTTCCCTTTGTTTTTAATAAATAGGATAATGAAAGAGACAAAGGTAACAGGGTTCTGAGCAGGGGTGAAATCCAGCAGGTTCTGACAGGTTCGGGAGAACTGGTAGCAGGAATTTTGAGTCATTTGGAGAACCGGCAAATACCACCTCTGGCTGGCCCCGCCACATCTATTCTGTGCCTCCCAAATCCCAGCTGATCAGGAGGGAATGGGGATTTTGCAGTATCCTTCCCCTGGATTGGAAAGGGAATAGGGATTTTGCAGTATCCTTCCCCTGCCATGCCCACAGAACCAGTAGTAAAAAAAAATTGAATTTCACCATTGGTTCCGAGGATGCTATAAAACAAAAATACATGAACCCTTTTCTGTATGATGAAAGGCAGATTTTTAAAAACATAGTTTTTAAGCCAAGCCAAATGTTCATTTTTCCCCTGTAGGTCTAGGAGATGCAAACCAGATAACTAGATAGAAAAATGTATTTTTTTTCACCCCCTCCTTAGTTAGCTGAGGGTGAAGAATACATTATCAAGGTGGGAAGCATTTTTAAAACATGGGCTGATCAGAAACGTAGAAGAATTATGCCTGCTGATAACAGATATAACTGTTTGATTCCCAGTGAATTCTTGGTGTAGGATGAATGCTAGCAAAGATCAAAGTCCAATCGGTATTTGTCTTTCCCATTGCAAATATTTTGGCTTGGCTTTTTTTTAAAGAATTCTTGGCTCTTTCTCTCTTTCAACCCCCGACTGGTTCCAATTATTTGGGATTCTCATTAAATACTGCTTCTGTTTTTTCAGCACTTCTTGGACTGAGCATGCAAGTACCCATCATGTGATCATTCCAGAAAGCATTTAAAAAGAGAATCAGTGTTAGTGTTGCTGTAAGCAAATCAGGGATATGGAAAATGGAAGCAAAAAGGACTGAGTGGCTAAGATGCTGAGCTTGTCGATGAGAAAGGTTGGCAGTTCAGCACTTTGAATACCTAGCGCTGCGTAACGGAGTCAGCCCCCGTTCCTTGTCCCAGCTTCTGCCAACCGAGCAGCTCGAAAGAACGCAAAAATGCAAGTAGAAAAATAAGGACCACCTTTGGTGGGAAGGTAACAGCATTCTGTGCACCTTCAGTGTTTAGTCATGCTGGCCACATGACCACAGAGACATCTTTGGACAGCGCTGGCTCTTTGGCTTTGAAACAGAGATGAGCACTGCATCCTAGAGTCAGGAACGATATCTGCGAGGGGGCCCTTTACCTTTACCAGGCAGTTTTGCTATTAAAGAAAAATGTCAAATTTTCATGCACATTTTCCTGAATAAGGCCAATCCCACTTCCTTGGCTCTAGAAGAGCAACACATTTCTCTTTTTTAAAAAATTTAAGAAAACTGCCAAAAAAAAAACCTGCTCTGGAAAAATTGCATAAAATGAGTTGGCTGAACCCCAGTCCAAGTTAAGACCCCAATGTAGCCACAAATGTATGTTGCTAAGTGAAACATTCATTAAGTGAGTTTCCCTCATTTTACAACTGTTCTTGCCGTAGTTGTTAAGTGGATCATTGCATTTGTTAAATTAGTAACCTGGTTGTTAAGTGAAACTGGATTCCCCATAGACTTCGCTTGTCAGAAGGTCGCAAAAGCGGGTCACATGGCCCCAGGACACTGCAACCATCATAAATATGAACCACCTGCAAGCATCTGAATGTAGATCATGCTGATAGAGATGCTGCCAATTTTGTAAGTGTGAAAACGATCATAAAGCACTTTTTTGAATTATCACTAAATGCACTACTGTAAGTCGAGGAGTACCTGTATACCAAACTGTATATCCCATAGAAGTGACTTGTATTTTGATGTTTTATTTGCCCCCAAATATCAATAGGGAAGTCAAACCTTCCAAAATGACATTCCTGTAGACCAGTGTTTCTCAACCTTGGCGACTTTAAGTCCTGTGGACTTCAACTCCCAGAATCCCCCAGCCAGCTCTCGCTGGCTGGGGAATTCTGGAAGTTGAAGTCCACAGGACTTAAAGTCGCCAAGGTTGAGAAACACTGCTGTAGACTGAAGCATAATCAGATGTGGAATTTCTAAACAGCGGTCTAAGAGAGAATCAGGGAATCAAAATGATTGGTGGGGATGGATAACACATGCCATCTAAAAAAAGAAAAATCTGTGCTTACTGCATTTCTGTTTCTGATCTGAACCAGCCTTTCCCACTAGCTTTTGCATTCAGCTTTATGTCTTAATTGGAAAAGCAAAGCATGCAGCAGGCAATTTCCCATCTGGATTACTAAAATCTCAGTAATTTGTTTCTGCTTCTGATCTGGAGAAAGTGGAGAGGAACAAGCGAGCCTAACCTCTCATCTTTATATCGGTGAACTGTTAAAATACTAGCGTGGGATTGGAATCCTGAAATGGGATCAAGGAGACTCATCTGATCATCAAACTCATTGAGTGAACACAGGAGACATACATCAATAATAAGGTAGCTCAGAGGCTGTCATAATCACTCATTAGGTGCTTTCCTGAGGGAAGATAACTCCTTGGTTCCAGCTAAATCAGATTGTAGCATGGGAGTTAAGTCACAATTAGTACCCACTAATCTATTTATTTATTTTTTATTATTTATTTATTTCATCACGCATGTATTAGATAACAGATATGTATAAACATGATTTTGAATACATGAAATGGGTACAAATAAATGGGATTGTTAGGACAGGGACGGTAGGCACATTGGTGTGCTTATCCACACCCCTTACAGACCTCTTAGGAATGGGGTGAGGTGAACAGTAGACAGTCTAAGGTTAAAGTTTTGGGGGTTTGGGGAAGAAAGCACAGAGTCAGGTAGAGCATTCCAGGCATTGACCACTCTGTTGCTGAAGTCATATTTTCTGCAATTGAGTTTGGAGCGGTTTACCTTGAGTTTGTATCTATTGTGTGCTCGTGCATTGTTGCGGTTGAAGCTGAAGTAGTCATTGACAGGTAGGACATTGTAGCAGATAATGTTATGTGCTACGCTTAGGTCAGACCGAAGGCAGAATAGTTCTACTGTCAGTTGTCTAAGCCCAAAATTTGAAGCCTGGTGGCATAAGGGATTCTGTTGCGAGCAGGAGTGGAGGACTCTTCTCGTGAAATACCTCTGGAAATATATCTTGTGAAATATCTCTAGGAAAGCAAAGGACTCATTGGCCGCCCATATAAGCAGCACCAGCATATTTGAATTTCAGAAAGGTGACAAAATATCTGTTCCAAAGCTACAGCTAAAGTTAGAGACTCTTTCAAATCCATCTTTGCTCCTGGATCTCTGTTTTTGCTCCTTTGCCTTTCGCCCATGGAACCTTAACCAGTGGTACATCAGTACTCATCATTAATTGATTTGGGGAACCATGACGAATACTAAAAATGATAAGTACCAAACAAACCACGTGACTAACTTGTTTCGGCCAGAAGGGGTAGTGAGTTACCAAGTAACTGACACTAACAAGTTTTAGCCTGCACATTGAGCACCAAACAAATGATGAATACCGAGACAAAATTTTCGTGTCAAAGTGTGTTAGCCGAATTAGTTAGTCAAATTCATCAAGTTTTAAAGCAACTGAGTACGGAGGTGCCACTGTACAAAACCTGGACTTATTTGGGTTTTGAATTCTGACCCAATGTACTGGATACATTTTCTGCAAATGTCCAGACAATTGTAAGTAACCTTTTTTGGAATTTCAATTTGGACTGATACTGCTATTTAGCAACTTCTAAATTCGTCCTACCACAGGATAAACCATTCATCTGATTCAGACGTTTAGGGTTTACAGATGGTTAGGTGTGGAAGGGAAAGCACAAAGCTTGGGCACCTAGCAAAGATAAGCAAGAACAAGGTTCTTTTAAAAAAAGATTTAGAAATAATGGGGCAACTGGACTCAGATCTCACATACCTGTGGGCGTTTCCACTCCACATTTGCTAGTGGTGGATTCAGATAAAAGAGGGAAACGTCAGAAGCAGGAAATTCAGGGTCTTCGAACAGTTTCTTCTCTTTAAGGCACTCTCGCTTGAGGGCTTCATACTTCTGGTTTTTAAAGGGCTTGGCTGAGGTAGAACCCATGGACTCTGTCTGGAGAAAATGGATATGTTGCTTTGTAGAAATGGCTTGTCATAAAATCACTTTGACTCAACTAGCAGCACATAGACCGGGGCAAAGAATAATCATTTCACAATCGATCTCAGATGATAGATGGTATCAGACAACTGTTCGTGTAGCACAGATTATGGCCACACACTAAGGAAGAGCTGCACATCTTTTTTTAAGAATAGAATAGAATTCTTTATTGGCCAAATGTGATTGGGCACACAAGGAATTTGTCTTTGGTGCACATAACATAGCATAGCATAGCATAGCATAGAATACAATAGAATAGAATAGAATAGAATAGAATAAAATTCTTTATTGGCCAAGTGTGATTGGGCACACAAGGAATTTGTCTTTGGTGCGCATAACATAGCATAGCATAGCATAGCATAGAATACAATAGAATACAATAGAATACAATAGAATACAATAGAATACAATAGAATACAATAGAATACAATAGAATAGAATACAATAGAATATCATAGAATAGAATAGTATAGAATAAAATTCTTTATTGGCCAAGTATGATTGGGCACACAAGGAATTTGTCTTTGGTGCGCATAACATAGCATAGCATAGCATAGCATAGAATACAATAGAATACAATAGAATACAATAGAATAGAATACAATAGAATATCATAGAATAGAATAGTATAGAATAA